GGTTTTTGTTGAGTAACTCCTTGGAGGCCTATTTGATCTGAAGTAAAGCTAACATTACTAGGATGTGTTTTCATGATCTAGTTCTTCAGTCCTTACATTTGGATCACACACAGCATTGCCATGATAGTGATTTATAATTTGCTCAAGGTAAAGAAATTTAAATGTATTTACAGAGATGAAGTCCCAATCATGTACCAGGCCATTCAAATTGGAATCAAGACTAAAGCAGCACTGTCAAAAAAGTAAACAATAGCAGCCATCATGTAAATGCAACACATTTTTCTCAATATTTTTATTTAATTTTTTTGTCATATCTAATTTAGTTGAATATTAGTGTAATCCTACAACTTTACACTGTACATTTTCAGAAAATGGTCTTTAGGAGCACAAAAGAATTAATCACACCACAATCAAAGAGAAATCTAATTATCTTTTTTCTGTGAGAAGTTAAATTATGAACCAAATCAAATTGAACAAATTAAAGAATATTTTTGTAAAGGTTATTCAATTAAAGATATTAAACTTACTTTATAAGTTTTTGCAGCCATTATTCTCTTACACTCAGCTTTCTGTCACTTAAATACTTGTCAGAGGGCAAAATGTGTTAGATGAAGTCTAACTCTAGAGAGACAGGAAACAACATTTTGGTGTCTTACACCAAGGTGTGTTTTAATATTTTTTACAAAATGATTGTATGCCCCCGCTGTGGCACCATGGCATGGAAGGAAAGAAGTTAAGCATCATCATGATTATGTGATAATACCTTACTAAGCCTTCTATCCTGCATTGTAGAACAGGTCCCTGAGCTCATAAAGTTATGTTTAAAAATTAATCGCTCTGCGGATTGAGTGTAATTTTGCCTATAGTTCCTAAAGTATGCAAATATTTAATCAACAGATTCCTGGAAACTCTTCAGTTATTCAAAGGAAATGGAAGTCTATCCAGTGCTCATCTGCAAGTACAGGGCTGGGAGAATCTGCGAGGGTTAGAACCAACACGGTTTCTGCGGAGATCAAACAAGTGAAAGCCAGACGAAAAACAGCTCGTATGCTAATAGTGGTGCTATTTGTGTTTGCCCTGTGCTACTTACCGATCAGCGTGCTCAATGTCATGAAAAGGTAGGCATTTCTCTAGATCTGCAGCTCAATGGATCAAAAGCCAACGAATACTGAGTACGCTCCACTGTAGAGGTTATTTAAGATCAGAGCCTATATTTTGCATAATTTTTCTCACATCCTTTTTTGACTGATATGGTATACTTAAATCCCTGAATTGTGACTTGTTTTTATGACACAATGTATGAAAGGGTAATCTCTTCTTTTTACTCTATTTTATCTCTAGAGTCTTCGGGACATTCAAGAACACAAATGACAGAGAGACGGTGTATGCATGGTTTACTTTCTCACACTGGCTTATATATGCCAACAGTGCAGCAAATCCCATAATCTATAACTTCCTGAGTGGTGAGTTTTCAAGTAGTAGTGCTTTTTAAGATTTTATTCACAGTACAAAAAAATAAGTTCATTACTGCCCTCTAGTGAACTATTTCACGTTTACAACATACCTTTCAGCCTTACATTTCTGTAGATCATATCAAATATGTGTTATTATTCAACAAGAACTCCTAGTTTGTCAAAGGTGAAAAGATACTCTGGATAGACTTGCATCGCCCTCAATCCAACACACATATTTCTAAGAAAAATGTTCAAGACTCTTCAAAATATTTAAAATGTATAAACAAGCAGGATTGGATGTCTCTGATAATATATAGACAGTTTAAATTTGAATAATATATTTTTTGTGTTTTTCTTTTCAGGCAAGTTCCGCGAGGAGTTCAAATCAGCCTTTTCTTGTAGTTGTTGCAGCCAACGGCAAATTCAAAAAGAAACGATTCGGACCAGGGCGAGCTCAGAAAGCCGAAAGTCCTTATCAACTCAGGTTAACAATGTGGACAACTTGTCACGCTTATCAGATCAGATGGTGTAGTCTTGTTAGCCAATTTTAAATCTATATCAAAGAGTTCATTAAAAAAAATCTGAATCTGAATTAAAATTCATGACCTAATATATATTTAAAATATCAGACATTAACAACTGTATTTTATGACACATTACACAAGTTTAATGACACTAAGTGTCATTGCAGCTAATTGCAGTTTTGACTCTACGTATTTATTTTCCACTGTTTTTGTTTACCTTTGTGTTTTTATGATGGGAAGCAGGTGCTAGAGAAAATAAGTATTTTACCCACTTAAGCATCCATTTTAATTTTTCCGTGTAAGTGTTCGTTATTATATGATTAGCTGCACTATAATTATGTAAATGATGCCAGATCAATCAGATGAAAATACATTTTCACTTTTCATTCTCCAAGTTTGTATGGCACAATACAACCAAATTGAATACATTGTTGCTGCGCTGTTTCACATCATGCACAGCATTAAAGAAAAATCAAGAACCATTTTTCTCTGAAATGGCCATTTTTAAAAAATGTGGTTATGCAGTAACAATTACCAAAAGCCTTAATGCCCTACGGAAAATGGTCAGAAGAAAATATATTATTTTGAGATGTTGAATGCCATGAAACTACAAAATCTTAGGTAATCAGGTAGAAAAACAAATTTGGTGATAAAAGGAGGCCAAAGATCCAGGCCAGATGACTGGCAGCACATGTGACAGAAAGACATATTTTATAATGCCCTGTCCATATTTACTAAAACCTATGACTGTCAACAATGCAAGGCTGTACCTGCTCCACTTGTATTTTGTCATTTAAATTGATTTTAATCTTGATACTCTGGTTAATAGAATACTCAGCTGGGATTGGCTCCAGCCCCCTGCGACCCTGTTGGGAATAAGCAGTGTAGAAAATGGATGGATGGATGGTTAATAGATAAATTAAACCAGGGTTTTTAACAGCAAATTGGGTGTTGTCCATAATTTCTGTTACTTTTGAAACACAACACCTTAAGCAACATTGCAGATTGATGGAAATGTGGTGTTGATTTGTGTGAAAATAAGATGTTCAGAGCATATATGTTGTCATGTCAATTTATATGCTAACATTCAATTCACCACATATGACATTAGTATCATCAAAGGAACTGGCCATGAAACCTTATCTCCTTGCCCTCTGAGAAAACTCACTGATAGTATCAGGGACGTGGAAAATAATCTAAAATATACAGTGGCCTATTTTTCATTGGCCATTAAAAAAATGTTTTAAACTGATTGTCAGAGTGATGTATTCAAGGCAATATAATCAGTTCCTCTGTCAACAATGTTCCAAAACAAAAGGGAAAAATGATATGGAAATCTCTTGACAAATAAAAAGAGCAAATAGAAAAATTATGAAAAGAAATCAACATAAGTGGAAACATAACAAAGAAACGGGAACAATTGAAAATATTGTGTAATGTCACAACTACAGAAACAACAACAAAAAATTCAATCAAAGGAATCTCAATTGCTTTATTTCTCCAGTCAATTGTGGTCTGATTTGTGTCTGCTTGATAAAAATATGGCAGTTTGTGTTATCTCTAGGACATTTGTGAATGAGATTGATTAATTGGAACATTCACTGTCTTTTGCTTTCATCTTTATGCTGATTGATGTGTTAGACACTTAAAGCTATGACAACTCACAAATATTCAATCTTGTCCCACTCATTAGCATTATTCTAGTCCCAACGATGGACTTGACAGTTGATCAGAGTGGTGTATTTGATTAAAAAAAAAAGTTCTGTGCATCTTGTAACTTTATGCACTTTATGCCTCTCCACTTGTTATTTATTTGTGTTTACTTGGCTATATTGTCCTGCACTCTAGTCGGTGTATGTTCCTATTTTTATGTGCTTGATGAATAAATGACATTGGCAGTGAATATTCCTTCTCTACTCGTTCTTTTCAAACTCAAAACACAGCCATCAAACCTCCAGCACGTGGATGAAATCAGCAGCACAATATACATGCAGTTCATACGTTATTATTGCATTCTGGAACATTTCTCACAGAATCAGTGCAGCAATAAGAAACATTTGCAACTAAAACACAAATACAGCCTCAGTGTTTAAAATCAGACAACGGAACAACTCATGAACAATGAACCGGCACAATTTCAATTATATCATTCTTAATAGATATTTCTCAGAATTAAAATGTTTTTTTCTCATCTCACGATTGCTCCTTGCTTTCTACAGGATAAAATACCTTTTTTAGTTGTTTTTCTGTGTGTTTTATTGGTAGATGTAATTTTATTACACAGTGCAGGGTACAGCCTCCAAGACATGTGTTACATCCTGTTGGCTGGGGGTGGTGTATCACAGCTGGAGTTGTGAGACCACAGAGAGGGATGCGTTAGGTGCATACGAGCTTCAGTTGTCTACTGACAGCAGAAAACATGCAACTGATACAACTAGAGGCAGCCGTCATTCTGGGTGAGTGAACTTTAATCGACTGTACAGAAATCTTACTTTTAAGCTGAATTTGGTCTGACATGCTGTCGCTCTAAAATGATCAGCACCAACATATTGATCCATTTTCTATATAGGAATATGTATAAAAAAGTGTGTAAAAGAAAGGAGATTATATAAATGATTGCAATGTGTACTTCAGGGATTCTTATTCCTCAGATATCCAGCGTCAGCTTTCCGTCTCCAGCACCTTCCTGCTTGCCTGAGATGGAAACCTGCATGTCAGATTTATGCAAGTGTGAGCAGGCTTTTTACAGTAGCTTCCCAAAAGGTAAGGAAAATTACATTTCAATTTCGATATTTCTGTTGGAAAAACTGAAAAACGTGGTTATCCTTTAAAATGTTAAATTGACGGCCTTTTCTCAGGTAGCTGAGCATACGGGAACACTAAACTGAACTACACTTGATGGAGCATAGTGAAAATTGTATATCTGAAGCAATAGCCTGTGGCAAAGTGAAAGTAACAAAACGAGTGATGCTTTGAATTTAGAATTGAATTAGGAATCGTATTCTGCCACTCTCACAAGGTTAAAAGCAAAGAGGCAGCAGGTCCATTCACTGTGAAACACCTGTTGCTCAAACAGAGCTTTGCCTGCTTATGGAAAATCCTGTTTTTCTGCCTTCCTATTTGTCTTTGTGATATTCAAGATGAGCGCTGCCAAATAAAGGGCACAGAGGTATGTAACATGACCGTCCAGACTGCACTGGACCAATTTCCTTCTCTACGCGGGTGTGTGTGTGCCTGGGAGGAGGAGCTTTGTGACTCTCTACAAGCGTTGGCCTCACAATGCCCCCACAAGCCAGGTGCAGATGCTTATTCGTGTCTCTGATATATATGCATTTATCTGTGAAATCACCGTTTTGTTTACCAAAGGTGATCCTAAAAGCAAAGACTGATGTGTTACTGAATGAGTGTCATGAACAAGAGAGAGTTTTACAAAGCATATGTTGCTGAATACCTTATCCTGTGTTCTTTATCTAAACAGCAATTCAGAAGAAGAGGAGCAAAATTATAGACTGGAAATCAAGCAGTTTAATAGACATTGGTATGAATTATTTCATTATGACAGCTTCATGTGAGAGATCAGGAATCATTTAGTGGACATCCAATCAACACCTTTCCTCTTGCAGAGTATGATGGTGCAGGGTCCTGTGTGGATCGAATTGGTGTCTGTGTCAGCGATTCAGTTTGCAACAAACACCTGGCACCTGTTCTTCAAGCGTGCACGGCAGAGCGATGCGATGGGGACGTCTGTCAGACAGAAATCCAACAGTTCTACCGTAACATGCCACAAAGGGCTGCAGAGATGCTGGTGATGTGTGAGTGCGATGCATCTGATCAGAGCTGTCTACTGATGAGAAGTGGTCTACAGAGTGGCAAATGTGGAGATGAGACCAAGATCTGCCAGGAGAGAGTGGACCAGTGTGTGGAGGACAGTAACTGCAGGTAAGCTATTTTCGGCTGGATTACTACAATAAACACACCTTACTTATCAAAAATATATATGGCCAACAGTGGGGATAATACCCCTGAATGATTGCATGCAAATGAGTTTGTGAACATGTTTTTCTTTTGCATTATCTGAATAATGAAAATGGAAGGATCTAAAGACAAAAGCCACAATACTTCTGGTTATCAGCCGAGCAGAGGAAAATAAGTCTCTAGCCCTGATTGTGCTGCAGTTATAGAAAACATAGAAATTCAAGTAATCATGTCTCTTTTTACATAAATTATTCATGACATTATTCTTAATATTATGAATTCTTTTTTTGCTGTCTGAGAGTGATGGTTTGAATATAGGAATTTAGGACACATTGAAAGTAGGAGCAGGGAGAAAGACTTCTTTTGATCAAGGCTCTACATTACAGACACTGTGGACAGGGGGATCAGTTAAGTCAATTATGTCAATTCTTTCACTTTTTGCTAAAAGGTTGGGCAATTGCTGATTTTAAACACGCTACTTTCGAGTGACAGCCATTATATTTATGCATTTAGCAGACGCTTTTATCCAAAGCGACTTACAAAGTATGGAACAAGTTTATACCTTATTAGCTGAGGCTAAAAGGGTTTTTTAAAAACATTTTTAAAAAGGTACTATTAGTAAATGATTGGGGAATTAGAGGGGTAAATTTGGCAACTGCCTGTCAGTGCCCCCTAATGGAAGTTCTTATTTGTAAATTAAAAGTGAACGAGGTCCAACGTTGAAACAATCTTGCAGAGTGCATTGCTGCCTTCTTGTAACACTTCCATCCCAAGCCTTTCCAATCTGTCTTTTCCCTCTTTTACACATAGATGGCAGTGAGCCTCCAGACAAACTGCAAGGGTTTTGGGTTGTGTGCAAACCCAACTTTCATTCATTCATTCATTCATTCATTCACAATTTTGGTTTTAATGCCCGATGTATGATGTCATACTGAAATGCCCCTTAACTGATAATACAATTTTTTACTCTGAATCGTGAGAGCAATTATGTCTGTAGCAGAAACATTGCATCAATGCTGATAAGTTTCTGAAGCATTTTAGAAATTGTAGATAAGAAAATGATGGGCACCCAAACTTTTGAACTTGAATGAAATAGCAAAGTGAAAATGGCATTGTTTTGAGAATGCAAGTCACCCTCTTGTTTTTTTCTTCCATGATTCATTAAGAGACCTGCTGAAAACTCTCCAAGCCAACTGCTGGAGCCCTGAAGAGGCCCGGTGCAATGACAAAAATCTCCAAAGAGATGAATGCTTCCCCCTGAGGGATCCAGCCTTCATCCTTGGCACACGTACTGAATGTAAAAGGGCCTTCTTGGACACTTTAGGCACAGTGCTACATTATCCCTGTACTTGCAAAGGAGTACACAATAACCATCTGGTGACGTGTCAAAGGATTTATGACATATTTCATAACAGAACACACTTCAGTAAGTCATTTTTTGATTCCTGAAAAAATCTATACTAATAATTGCTGGGAGACGTCAGAATGTTTGTTTATTTATTGGTCTTATTCTCATTTTAGTAGAATTTAAGGAAAGCCGTGTGGGTCTTACAAAACCGAATGAAATCAGTGAGTCTGAACATGCTCACACTTGGTTTTATGGTAAATTTAGCTTTTGCCTTATACACATTTGGTCATGTTCACATTGATACAAGCGATCAAACTGTTTGTTTACCATTGTAATGCATAGTATTTTATCTTTTCAGATCATCTGCTGTATGCTTTCTCAGCTGTGCTGTTTGCAGGAGTTATTATTATTATACTTCTGGCTGCTGTCAGTAAACTCTGGTAAGTATATCAACCTCAATTGAATGGAAATGTCTGAAATACCTGGTATTTTATTTACTTTTTTGCTTATAGGTTGTTGAGAAGCAGAGATAAAATCAATCTCTGCAGTCCACGGAGAAGGGCTTGTGTTGTTACTCTTTGATGTTTATTTATTTTGGCATTTGCCGTTCCATATTTTCCTTTTTTCAACATGGAATGTATATGCACAGGCTTTTTCCAAAGTTGAATAAAACACGGACAGAAAAATGAAAGTTTTAGATGAAGAGGGAATAGTTCAAAAGTCCCATGAGTAAATGAAAAATGCCTGAGAGTAAACTAAAGTCAATTTTCACTTGTTGCTTGATAATATGCACCAGTTGGCTCAGTTACACTTGGTATCAATGGTAACATTATTTTGTTAATTTCTTTTTTAATATTGATCAAGCTCTTTGGCTTTTATAGTACAGTTGAGAGTTTGTTAGATTTTTCTCTTTTGCTGTCATGTGTGTAGGGCAAATTTGACCATGTTTTGACTTTGGTATATGATATTACGATGTGTTCATTGGAAATCTAATACAAACTAAATAAATGACAATGATTGAAAAAAACAAATAACATGTTGTGACTGGAGTGACTACTAAGATACCAATAAATGATCATTTAAAGGATAATTTTAAGAATGTCTTTTATTTCTTCTTGATGCAAGCTGATGGGAGTCAAACAGTTTTAGCAGTGAATAGATGTCTGAAGCAAATGTTCCTCCTCCTCGGCTGAACAGGACAATACCTGGTTATCACAAGTAAAGGCTGTAGAAATAGTTTTCATGCACTTCTGCATGAAAAAACAGCAACGGCTGTGTTTGTGGGCAAACATCAATAGATAAGATTTTCATGACTATATCACTTTTTCTCCGGGGAAATTTGAGAATGAAAGTAAGCACACAACCAGCATGTGCTATCAGTGTACATCCTTAACCTTTGTTGGTGGTCATTAACTTTCATAAAGCAGAAAAACCCTGTAAAGGTAGTTTGGACAAGCTCTGACTCAGGTTATCAGACTTAAATATTCTGACACCTCCAACATTGCCTACCTCCAACCTCAAGAACAAAGTAGTCAGTTACTCCCAGGTATATACCACCTTTTGATAGGTGTCATTTCTTTTTCCTGTCAGAGCTTTAACATTTGTGTCTGGTTGTTTTTTCATTTTTCTTTTTTCCCTCTCAAATTTAGTCAGATTCCACAGTACATAAAAATCACCTTGTGGTGCATTGCAAAAAAACATGGTAAAACAAAGAGATTTAGACATCACTGCACACTGTGACAGCTCTTTTCTCTTATTTTATTAGCCATTCATCTATTTTCTCCAGTCATATCAAATCACAATTTTCAGGTAAGTAATCCTGTTGTTTGTCATTTCAAATCATTACATTACTTTGCACACCTGCCATCTTTTGTTTTTTCCCCCAAATCTGCATATCAGTTTGCAGAAAATTATCCTTGATTTACAGCAGATCTCTGAATTTGACGGATGAATGCTTCATTTAAATTTCAGATAGCTATTTGAACTTGCGATGAAAATGCACCCCCCCATGTGTACAATTTCCTTAGCTTCATGAATGTATGCAAATATTGTTGTACACTACCTCAGCTATTCATTAGAGTTTCATATTTTTTAATCCAGTTCAGAGTAATTATCGATCTTGGGTGACACCTGTCACTGAATGGTCTTTTTAATGTAATCATACACAATATATACTTTCTATCCATCCATTTGATAATGTTTTAAATAAAAAATCTTCAGCCAAAAGGGCAGACTTGGAAAAATGAAATGGCATTCATCTTTAGATTCACAGTACCTCAATGTCAGGTTTAAAAGGGGTGATTAAACAGGAGAAAAAATCAAAGGCCTCTTCGTTCGTGATCTTTGGAAAACCTCTGCAGGCTTTTTGCAAATGGCAAAAGCTCCCCAGAGTGTTAATTTCCCCAACTCTTTGCAGAGTACCCACCTGTCACCTTCAGCTAACATAGCTGGTATAAAAGGAGGCCTAAATTCAAAGAGCAAAAGGGAGTACTCAGTGAGCAGCAGAGGCAGACCAATTTTTAATAAGGCCACTGAGCAATCCAAAGAATAACAGGTGATAAAGCCAAATTAATGAGGGAAGGTTGTAAATAGAATCAGATACCACATGTTATCTAAAAACCAGAACTGGATATACTCCTAACTAATGAAGATAACAAGCTACAGAAAGCTGCTTCTAATCCAACGTGACATTTCAGTTTGATTTGATCACAGTCTGTCTATATGAAGAGAAATGTAAGGCGACAAAAAATGAAACTCTATGGACACTGAAGATCATATGAGAATCAATCATATGAGAATCAACAAATGTGAAGGCAGCAAAAACCCTTTAAAATGATCAGACTAAAAATAAGTCAGTGTTTTCACACGGACACATCACTGCAACCTGCTTCGTGCCTGGGCAACCTTGGAGCTTGTCTTGCGACATAAGGCATTGCAGATGAAATCACCAGCTTCTATGACTTTGGCAAGATTTACGCCCTGGGGAAACAAATGTGCAGCATCAGTTACGTGTGATGCGTTCCCGGTGAGTTTGTTTTTACAGCAATTCAAAACAGACAAAAAAGGAGAAAAAAAGCCTCATCCTCATGAATATAAATGCACGTGTGTAACAGGTTGTAAAAGCTGAGCTGCAGTAAAATGATTCCACCAGCAGGGGTAGGAATTGTTAAATTGTTCAAGAAATCCTGAGTGAAGCCTGTGGTGAACAAGTTGCATAAGTAACTGATATTATAAAAATAAACATATACAGAACAGTATATTTTCAGAATGACCAGTTTATGTACATTAGATTATATGAGTTTGGTTTTGTTAGGATTACAGACACATGAAATGCTAAAGGTCTGTCAAAGTGAACTGTGGAGACATACTTACTGTTTCAATGCCCATGCCGTGGAGCATGTAAAGAACATCCTCTGTGGAAACATTGCCAGATGAACCCTGAGCGTAGGGGCAACCTCCGAGGCCTGCAACTGCAGAATCCACCACGGACACCCCCATCTGCACAAGATAAACAACAGCGACATTCAGCACCTTGACGCAGGCTTCAGCTCAAGCAGAATCTAGGAACAAGGATCCTTGTTCTGTTCGATTGTTCTGTCTGGTGCAGCGCACCTTGCCAGACCTGTGGTCATGTTATACAGCTGTTTCAGGGAACTGTGGGCCGTATAGTCCTGAAGATGAGTGGGCACTGAATGCCCTACAGTATGGCTTAGTCATCCTCTCTGTCAGCTTAAACCACCAGCACCGCATAATTATGGCCCTGTTCCTATGAGAGGAGCATTATGAATGCTGAACGGAACATTTCATATGGTTCTGATTCTCCTTGTTACTTGTGTTTTTACAGTGCTACTCTTTCCTTCAACCATGAGAATTCACTTTTTTGCCACTATAAGAGGACTTTTCTTCTCCGTAGACCATGCCAAAAATATTGGCATTACTTTAAAAATGACCTTGTGCAAAAAAAACGGATTCATAATAACTTTATCAGACAGCGTCTCTAATTCCCCTGAATGAATGCTTAAGGCATAATACTACTGCTTGCACTTGATGCTCCAGACACTGAAATGTTATTTACACCGTTCAATATCGTAACCATATACACACAGCTGAAGTGCTTGCCCTGAAAATCAATGAGCAAACCAAAAGTATTATGTTTGTTCTCGCATCAAAAATGACTGAGACCAGTTTTCAGTTTTTCAGTCATTATAAATGCCTGAGAATGTTTTCCACATGTCCCAGGGATTGTCATGAGAATATTAAAGTTGTTTTCCAGCTTCCGTGGCGGGGCCAGATGTCAGAGGGCCCTGCAGTGAGACAAAATTAACACACCGATCTTCTCAGTGGCATCGGGTCATGAGGGACTTCCACCCCACCGAGCAGGACTGGGCAGGCTAAATTAAAAGAACTTTTGTGGCTTTTTTGGAACAATGCTGCTAATTGGTGGCTTTTCCGCCAGACAAGAGCCTACTTCTTTAGAGGGCTGTCTGAGCCAGGCATAATTGCTGTTTGTGTTGGCAGAGGAAGAGGTGGAGGTGTATGCTGCTCTGGTGTGCGCAGTGCACGAGATTTCCAGACCTTGGCCAAAGCCAGAGCAGGATATTGTACTGGGCAGATTTTTTTTTTTTTGTATAAACATAGAGTTGTAATCTACCATGCCAATCCTTTCACTTCCAGCTGCTCCCCACTGTAAGGCTACAAGTCTTAAACACATACACTCTTCAGCAGTGTTCCCCGTACCTCTGGACACTAATCATGCAGAAATCAGTGGTCAGCAGCTTAAGCTTGCCAATGCTCAGTTAGGTTCACACTACCCAGAAACCAGATGTGTGTTCAACATTAAAAAACAGAGTCAGTGAGCTGTGGCCATATGAAAACAATGCATTCCTGGGTAAAGACACGGTGCATTTTCAAACTTGCATGATTTGGAATAAGCTTGTTGACATTCTACACTGTGAGTGGACGGGGATGAAGATGGACATGTTCCCGTTTTGGTTTCACAACTGCGTCAGAGAAGAGAGTGAGTATTGAGAGCGGAATATGAAGCAGTGATGCTTTTGCCCACTACAACATAAACTGAGAGGCTGAAAGAAACTGTCAGAGATCTATTGCTGACACATATATCACCTATTTCCTGGAATGCATAAACAAGCTTCCAACAGGAAAGCATACCCATGATGTTGGATGGCAGAAATATGCCAAACAAACCTACAGTATAAAGGATAAATCAATAAATTCTTATTTTGTGATTTCTCAATGCATGGAAATGCTGATTTTAGTAATAAGATAAATCACTTTACACCTAAAACCCTTTCTTGAATCACTGAGTTTCATGAATGCAGAACAACAAACAATGAGGGGATTCCAAATACTGTAAGGCTCGTATAAAATCCAGACGTCCTGAAGTATTTTTTATTTTCTGTTTTGACACACCAGTATGTTCTCTAGTTAGTAATAACACAAGAATACTCATGCCAAAGCCTGTTTATTTTTGACCAAAATAGAGAAAATAGTTTTAGTTGAAGCAGCCAAAAACACAAAAGAATGTTGTGGCAGTCGCGCCACTGTGGGTGCCCCGACAGAGTTCCCTCGAGA